CCTTCCTTCCTTCCTTCCTTCCTTCCTTCCTTCGCACAAGGGCAGTTGGAGATGAGACGAGAGCAGCGTGAGGAAAAAAAAACAACCCTGCATGCGTTTGCTTCCGTGTCGGGAGGGGAGGGGAATAAAAAACCTTTGCAAAATTTGCAAAACATCAAACCAGAGACTTGGCTGGAGTAGCAATGCGAAAAGGGGGTGCATTTTTAGGGAAAAACGGGACCGCAGCTCTTTGCATCCGTGGCCATTTTGCAGAGGCGAAGGGGAAATTGAGCGAATTTTGGGGTGCAGTAGGAGGGGAAAAAAAAAAAAAAACAAGGCACCGCTGGGATTCGAACCCAGGATCTCCTGTTTACTAGACAGGCGCTTTAACCAACTAAGCCACGGCGCCACTTGGCCAATTTTTCCCTTTTTCCTAATCTCAGTATGTAAAGGTAGAATAATTCTAAAAGGAACTTTTTCTTTTCTTTTTTGCAAGAGAGATCTCCACTTTTGCAACGTGGCGCCCGCAGCAGCAATGGTGCAAAAAAACAACAACCCCAACAACTCCGATGGGGAAAACAAGGGAAAAAACACTCGACAACGCTTAAAAAAAAGAGGGTCAAGGCTTTTCCATCCCGCCCTTTGCACATGCTCGTGCATCTTTGCTTCCGGCCCGTGTAAATACTCTGTACATATTCAAGAACTCTTCAATTCAAAGTAACGGCGCATCAATAGCAAAGCAAGCGAACGAGAAGCTGGGCAAGGGGATGTAGCTCAGTGGTAGAGCGCATGCTTCGCATGTATGAGGCCCCGGGTTCAATCCCCGGCATCTCCACAATTTTCTCTCTTTTTTTTTTTTTTTGCCTTTGGAAACTTTTTTAAAAAATATTTAAAAAATAAATTTCAAAAATATTTTTTAAAAATATGCTTGTGAGGGAGGGAGCCTTGCAAATTCCGTCTCCTGTTTTAAATCCTTTGTAGAAGAACGGCTTGAATTTATTCGTGTTTGCAAAGTCGGTTCCATTCTTGCATATATTTTTTGCAGTTTTGATCTAAGTACTTTTAAATTATGTTTGGGGGTCCCTTCTGTTTATCTCTCTCTCTCTTTTTTTTTGGAGCTTGGAAGCATTAAGGGGGGTAAATAAATTTCAACTCCCAAATGCTCTTGCTGGCAAAGGGGAATTCTGAATGTTTGCATTCCATCCCTCAAAGGTTCCAAGGCTTAAAAAAAATTGGTTTATATTCAGCATCAAAGCACTGAAAAAGGGAAAAGTGGATTTTATCCCCCCTCCCCATTGTTCAAATAGCGATCGTAAGATTGGAGTATTTTGCACCCTTGTCGAAACGGCGAGGCCCCTTAAAGGAAGGGAAACCGGTGGCAGTTGGGAGACAGGCAGAACGTGCAAAACAAACACGCTGTGAGCAGGATTTGAACCTGCGCGGGGAGTCCCCATTGGATTTCAAGTCCAACGCCTTAACCACTCGGCCATCACAGCTCGCTATGGAAACTTTTTTGACGCCTTTCCTGAAGTGGATCCTCTGTGATCTTCTGACGACCAATTTTTTTCCACTCGCGTGAAAGCCTGCAAAAAAGGTAAAACCCCGCTGGTAATAAATGGTTGTTTATTAAATAGCCAGGTATTTCTTCCTTTGATTCACCTGGGGAATCTCTTTCTCTCCTTTTTCTCCTCTTTCTCGCTCTCTTTCTTTCTCTCCCTTTCTCTCTTTCTTTCCCTTTCTTTTTCTTTCACTCTTTTTTCTTTCTCTTTCCCTCTCTTTCTCTTTCTCTCTTTCTCTATGTTCTTTCTTTCCCTTTTCTTTGTTTTTCTTCCTTTCTTTATCACTTTCTTTTGCTTTCTTTCTCTCCCTTTTTCTTTCTCTATTTTCTTTCTTTCTGTTTCTTTCTGTTTCTTTCTCTTTCTCTTTCCCTCTTTCTTTCTCTCCCTCTTTTTCCTTCCTTCCTTCCTTCCTTCCTTCCTTCCTTCCTTCCTTCCTTCCTTTCTGCTTCTTTTTCTATCGCTTTCTCTCTTTCCTTCTCTTTTTCTCTCCTTTTCTTTCTATTTTCTTTCTTTCTCTTTCCTCTTTTCTTTCTTTCTTTTTCTTTCTTTCTTCCTTCCTCTCTTCCTCCCTCCCTCCCTTCCTTTCTCTGTTTCTCTCTTTTTCCTCTCCTCTCTCCCCCCTCTCTCCCCCTCCCCTCAGGTGTTGTTTGTTTGTTGTTTGTCTGTCTGGTTTTTTGCGGCGATTCCACGTTTCAAATGGAAACGTGCTTCTTTTTTTCCAAACCGCGAAGAAAAGGGGAAAGCCGAGCACTGCAGCAACGGAGAGGTTAAGGAGACGGGCAATTTGCCCGTAGTTGAGATGGCGGCCGGAGAGAGCGAAGGAGGCTTTCGAAGTGTCGCGAGGCTGAGTGAAGTCCGTCCCCGGGAGGAGGAAAAGAGAGGCGGGGCCTAGGCGGTTGCCAGGGGAACGGTGCGGCCTAGCAGTCAAACCCGCAGCCTGAGACATCAAGGGAGCTCACTTGACCTGCGGGCGGGAAACAACGGGTATGCTGTACGGGGAGGGGGCGATGTCGCTAGTAGGACAAGAGAGCATTTGGGGCGGCGGGAAATGAAAGCCAAATATGGTGTAAAACGTGGCTGCGTTCACACGACACGCGGGGTGGACCTGGGTGTTGAACAGGGTTGGAGCTTTGGCGGGGTCACGTGTTCAGGGAGCTAGGCCGCATGGGTTGATTTGACACCCCCCCCCCCGCAAACATCTTAAACGAGAACTCGAGTTAAGAGACACGTGTGAACATAGCCTCCTGCTGCAAAAACCTGGAGGGACTTGGGGAGTGAAAACTGGCACGAATGGGCTCCTCTCCAGGGACTTTGGAGGGATTTGGATGCTCTCAGGAGACCTCATGCTTTCAGCCACCTCCCTCCCCCCCCTCATCCTGCAACAACAATAACCCTGTGAGGTAGGATGAGTCAAAATTAAAGCCTGGCCCAAAGTCGCCCCATCGGCTTCCACATATGAGGATTCCCTGTGACTTTGCAATGTTTATTATTATTATTATTATTATTATTATTGAATATTAATTTTCCATTGATTTTCTCGCTCAGAAAAAAGACCTTTAAAAGAAGCCCCTTAAAAACGATCCCGGATCTCTGAAAACTGGGAATCGGCAGCTGGATTTCTGCACCCCAAAGATGGGGGACCCAAATGAGCCCTGATAAAAGAACCCGGTTTGAAGAAACCCCAGGACTCTGTTGCCCTTGAGATCAGTGCACACAAAGTAGGTTACAAGGTGGAGAAAACAGAACCCAATATAGGTATTCCTCGACTTATGACTGCAAATGGTATCCCTTGCTAAGCTAGACACTTATTAAGTGAGTTTTGCTCCATTTTACGACCTTAATCGACACCCTGGTTAAGCAAATGGCTGCAATTCTTAACAACTAACAGGGTTGTTCAGTGAATCTGGCCGCCCGCTTGATTTTTGCTTGTTGCAAAAGGCGATGAAATGAACTTGGGACATTGCAACCGTCATAAATATGAATATGTTGCCAAGCGTCTGAATTTTGATCAAGGGACCGTGGGGTACGGTAACGGTCGTAAATGTGAAAAATGGTCCTCAGCCACTTTTTCCAGTGCTTTTGTAACTTCCAACGGCCACTAAGCGAACGTTGTAAGTCAAGGATTACCTGAATATACATTGGTACTACTACCTCACATCGAATTGATGAAGATCGTTTGTGGTTGTCCCAAAGGTGCTTTTTCAAAAGGCAACTGGACTTTCTGGTTTTTCTTTGAAGACGTTTCGCTTCTCATCTAAGAAGCTTCTTCAGCTCTGACTGGATGGTAGGGAATGGAAGGATTCCCTAACAGAGCTGAAGAAGCTTCTTGGATGAGAAGCGAAACGTCTTCAAAGAAAAACCAGATAGTCCAGTTGCCTCTTGAAAAAAGCACTTTTAGGACAACCATGACAGAGAATCTCCTTAGACATTGTTTGTGGATGCAAAGTTTCCCCTGTCCATGAAAGTGCCTTAGAGTTCCTGCTGTTTTTGAATTTTAATTTTTGGCTATGGTGAATGGCTGTGGGAAGTGGTCTAAGGAAGAAAAGGTCTTGGAGCGACATAACGACAGAGTTCCAATATTTGGAGGGGCTGCCCCAAAGAAGAGGGTGGGGTCCACCTATTCTCCAAAGCACCTGAAGACAGGACAAGAAGCAACAGGTGGAAACTAATCCAGGAGAGAAGCAACCTAGAACTAAGGAGACATTTCTTGATAGTGGAAATGATTAATCAGTGGAACAGAAGTTGTGGGTGCTCCAACACTGGGTTTTTAAAGAAGAGATTGCACAATCATTTGTCTGAAGTGACATAGGGTCTCCTGCTTAAGCAGGCTGGACTAAAAGATCTCTGAAGTCCCTTTCACTCTGTCATTCTGCTTTCTGTGTTTTGATGTTTTTCCTTGGATTCTTTTGCAGAGGATGCCGTTGGTCAGCGGACTGGTTCCCTCTCGATTCCTGGTCCTCACAGCTCATCTGGTCATTGTCATCACCATCTTCTGGTCCAGGGTGAGAATCTCCTTCCAAGTTTCAATTCCTGGTCCCTCGACCTCTTCCAAAGATAGATAGATAGATAGATAGATAGATAGATAGATAGATAGATAGATAGATAGATAGATAGATAGATAGATATAACAATAGCAATAGCACTTAGACATATACCGCTTTATAGTGCTTTACAGGCCTCTCTAAGCAGTTTACAGAGTCAGCATATTGCTCCCGACAATTTGTGTCCTCATTTTACCCACCTTGGAAGGATGGAAGGCTGATGGATGGATGGATGGATGGATGGATGGATGGATGGATGGATAGATAGATAGATGATAGATAGATAGATAGATGATAGATAGATAGATAGATAGATAGATAGATAGATAGATGATAGAAAGAAAGAAAGAAAGAAAGAAAGAAAGAAAGAAAGAAAGAAAGA